AGTTCCTCAAAAGTATGTTCTATATAAAGCATAAAAAGTAATGAAGAGCAGACATTGCTTGTGCCTTTCCTAAACATTCCTTATCTATAGTAAATACGGCTGGGTGAGGTCATATTTCCCTGCCTAGAGAGGAACTTGACACTGCAAAGCCGAGCCAAGCACAACAGGAACTGACAGTTGCAGGGCTTCAGGTTCACAGATGGGAGAGTTGAGAGAGCCTGATGATGGCGTTTGATGTTGTCTAGCTTAGCAATAAATAAAAGAAGGAATAAAAGAAAGGAATAAGTAAATAAAGGAAAGAATAAAGCAGCTGGAGTAGAAAGGATACTAGTAGGACGTTTCCAAGCTGCAGAGGCTGAATCAGTCCAAATCCTGACAAGAACATGCCAACAAATATGGGAAACAAAACAATGACTGGAAATATTCGATATACATTGTAGTCCCCCAGAAAGGAGATGCAAAAGAATGCAACAGCCAGAGGGCCCATCACAAGCAAATTGATGCTCAGGGTGTTGCAACAGTGTGAGCCAGTGAGAGCCAGTGTGGTGTAGTGGTTAAGAGCATGGGACGGGGACTCAGGTGATCTGGGTTCTAGTCCCCGCACAGCCATGGAGCCAACTGGGTGACTTTGGGCCAGTCACAGACTCTCAGCCCAACCTACCTCACAGGGTTGTTGTTGTGGGGATAAGATGGAGGGGGAGAATGATGTAAGCTGCCTTGAGCCCTTTGTAGGAAAAAGGCAGGATATAAATTGAAAAAAAATAAAAACAAGGAATATTACCCGATATGGAATGAGAAATGCCTGATGTTCAAGCTGGATTCTGAAAAGACAGAGGCACAAGATTATATGTGTTAGATAGTGGAACACAACAAAGCATTTCAGAAGAGCAGTCTATGTTTTATAGACTGCAGTAAAGCCTGAGACTGTGGATCATAAGAAGCTATGGATGGTCCTGAAAGGAATCAGTGTGCCTCAGCACAGGATGGTCCCGATCTGTAACCTGTATCATGGAAAGAAGCAACTGTTAGGTAGGACAGGATGTGGAGAAAGAGAATGGTTTCCTATTGGCAAAGGCATCAGGCAAGGGTGCCTGTTATCTCCCCATCTATTCAGTCTGTGCACAGAACAGAACATAAGGAAAGCTGGATTAGGACCAGAGGGCGGAAAATTGGTGGAAGACATCAATAATTTAACACAGCATACTGCATTGCTGGCAGAAAGTAACAAGGAATTGAACTGATTCCTGATGAAAGTGAAAGCAGAAAGTGCAAAGCAGGGCTGCAGCTGATCAGTACAAAAAAATCATGCCTACAAGAAGAATTACGGGATTTTACTATCAACAATGAAGAAATCGAAATTGTGAAAGGTTTCACATGCCTTGGCTCAGTCGCCAATTCAAAGGGACGCTGCAGCTAAGAAATCTGAAGACTGAGACGTGGAAAGGCAGCCATGAAGGGACTAGAACTGTTAACCAAGTGTAGGGACATTTCATTGGCGATCAAGGCCAAGTTCATCCACACTATTCTGCTCCCAATAACCATGGATGGGTGTGAGAGCTGGACCATGAAGAAAGCTGACAGAAAGAAAATAGATGTGTTCGAAACATGTGCTGGAAGAGAGCTTTGCAAATACCTCGGACTGACAGAAAGACAAACAAATCACTCCTACATCAAATCAAACCAGATTTTGCCCTAGCAGCAAAAATGACAACACTGAAGCTGTCATACTTTGGGCATATCGTGAGAAGATGGAGAAGGCAGTCATGCCAGGGCAAGTCGAAGGCAGAAGAAAGCAAAGACCAACTAACTATGAGATGGATTGAACCCATGCAGAAAGCCACAGCCTCGAGCTTGTAAGAACTAAGCAGGGCTGACATGGACAGGACCCTGAAGGGCAGTCATCCACAGGGTCACCATAAGGCAGAGATTATGTGACGTACCAACAACAACAGCTGAGCATTCCTCCAGTGCTGAGTTACAGAAGGCTTCTTAGAGCCACAAACTCAACAGAACAGAGTCAAGATAGTCAGATATAAGTGGATAAAGTTCAGGCAATGAGCTCCGAGCTGTTCATTTGCTTCCCCATGTATCCAGCAGGGCTTGTTCCAAGTATGTGAGCATACTGAGCAAAGATGCACAGGCAGCACCCTCAGCTTACCCATGGCTATGCGTACATGGGCTTATCACAGGGAGGCTGGCAAACCGAGAATGCCGAGACCCATACTTCAAATGACTCCCTCAAAAATAATGAAGTAAAATAAAAATTGAGCATGAAATAGCCCGTCAAAGTCTATTACTATAACTCCTTTCACTTGCTATGAAAGGAGGCTGTTCCAATGGCTGTTTCGTCACGTACCACCCTCAGATGCTGTTCACAGCAACCCTGTTTCCCGGCAAGCACAAAGGGTTATAGTAATAGGCCCTTATTTGACATTTCTCACTCCTATTTTTTATGAGGAACATTCTGCATCTGAACCTCCTTTGTCTCCTACTCTCGCCATCAGATAAGAACAGTTAACTAGGATCATGATATAGTCAGATACAGAAGAGGTCTCAGAACTATTAAAGGGGATGGGGTAGAGTTTGATTTCCATGGGAGTTAAGGCTGCAGCAATTCCTTCTGCCTCTGTTGCTGCAATGGGTAGGGATCTACTCGGGATTGTCGGGATGTTGACATGGCAACTCACACTTTGGGTTCAGATCAAAAGGCATGTCCTGCTTGGATGGCCAAATTCTGAACTGTGAACTAGGCTGAGTCAATTCTTCTTCCAACTGACATGAACTAACCTTTCCATTCTCAGGTTTAACCGTGAAAAGTAATTTAGGAGCTTTAGTAATAGATAATGACAGTATAAACTCATTCATCTGAATTGCTTGGAGAATATCTAATGTGATCATCCAGTTAAGTGTTTAAAATGATTATTTTGATATGAGACTATCTGGGGACAGCCAGTGATTTCAGATAATCCAGGAGATTTGGATAGTAATAATAATGTTTTGGACAAGGGCAACTCGCTTTGTGCTACAGTTGCATGTGGAGGGGCCTCCTCGATAGAGCTGGCATTATGCAAACCCTGTGGGAGAGAGACATCCTGTGCCAGCCTCTCTCCATGGAAAACATGCAGAAACGAGAGCAGTAATCCAGTGCAATTAGAGGAAAACTTACCCACCGGGGCATCAGTGTAGCCTTGAGCAGCATTTTCCGTACAACACAAAGCATGTGTTCAGTGTTAGCCGCTATGCTGCTGACCTCCGACCGGCCCCAGGGCCACATCAGGCCCCTCCCTGTCCCTCATTGCCTGCCATTTCCCTTTGCCTTCCACCTTTTCATCTGGCCAGAGGGCTCTCCATGCAGCTAGTGCTACAGCAGCCAGAGCCAAGGGGAGCTGCAACAAAGGAGAGAGAGTGCAGGTGGTTGCCTAGGGGGAGGGGGTCAGCCACCCCCAGGCGAGAGAGAGGCTGGCAGGTGCTCCAAAGTACCTCCTGGAAGTGGCAGGACAGGGTCAGCAGGCCCTCCTGGTGGGGGTGGGGAGCGGGTTTGGCTTGCCACTCCTAGTCTGCCACCTGATGTGGGCACCTCACCCTTCTTTAGGGGAGGGCTGGTCCAGCCGACGATGAATGTAGTATATGAGGAAGAGGCTTTGATTGATACAAGGATGTTGGTGGGGAGTACCACAATCCCACCCTGCTTCACCTATGGATTGCATTTATATCCTACCTTTCTTTGACAGAACCCAAGGCAGGATTGCCAGGAGTTTCCCTTCCAGGCAGTGACCCGACCCAACCTGACCCAGGCTAACATAGAAGACTAAGAGAGGGTGCATGGGTGGATCTGTCTACAGTTCTGCACCTGGTGTGTGTGTGATAACAAGACGAGTAACAGATATTATCTACTGAAACAAGACTCCTCCTCCTCCTCCTCCTCAGACCATTCATGGAAGTCTGTTCTTCTCTTGTGTCCTCAGCCTGACCTTCATGATCACAGGAAGCTGCTGATATGCAGCCAGCCCTGCTGGACTATCCAGCTGCACGTTGTCTTCAGTGCCAGGAGTAGGCAGCCTGGTTCCCCTCCAGGGGTACAGCTCCCATCAGCACCAGCCAGGGATGATGAGGGCTACAACCCATCTGGGGGTCACCAGGTTGCCCAGTCCTGGTCTGTCCTGACTGACACAGACTGGCAGCAAAATATGCTTCAGTCAGAAAATTTTCCCGATCCTACCTGGAGACACCAGAGGTTGAACCTGGACATCCTCTGCTGCTGAGCTATGGCTTTTTCCCAAAGCAACACAATTCCTCTTGACCTTTGTGTGTGGGCACAGCCCCATGCAGAAGTGTGGCGGCACGCCTCCACTAGCAAGCAGTACACAACTCTGGGCGGAAAGAGCTGTGCTAGCAGCACCTGTTCACGGTTCTGTTAACGTGCAAAGCCCACCTTCCTGTCCATGCACTCCGTTGTCCCCTGAGGTCTTCTGAGGCCTTTCTGGCCACTCTGCCACCAGTGGAAGGCCTGAAGGGAAGAGCACTTCAGCTGGCTTTCTTGGACACAGCACCCATCCTCCCGTGGTTCTGGAGGCAGAGACAGTGGCAAGTTTCAAACACCCCTTGAAAACACCCCCTGAAAACACCCCCGGCCATTCCTGCTTTCCCTGACCTGTGATGAATTGCATCATTGCCCCTTGCTGTTCTTGCCGAAAAGTTGGTCATGATTTATTATTTCATATTGTTTTATATTGCATTCTAAATGCATTTTAATTATATTGGGATGTCTTAAAAATATTGAGTGGTATAGAAGTATTATAAAAGCACAGATAAGCAGGCACTTGGCAACAGAGCTATTCCCCTCATTATTCCTGAAGTTACTGTCTTATTTGCCAGACTGCCACCCGCTTCTATTTTGAGGGGAAAGTTGTTTTCAGAACGTAACACTTTTTCATGCTGTTTCTTTTGGCTGAACAATTGATAGTCCTGCTTGCAAATCTCTCTCCTTTTCTCTCCCACAGCCCTTTCTGCTCAACCTGCCAGATAAAGGTGACGGTCACAGTTTGATTCCCCCTCCACTCGATCTAAATGTTTTTGGTGATGGTGTGAAAACATGGAAGAACAAAAGGATTGCCAATGCCTTCTGCCTGGAACAAGAGGTGGAGATGTAAAACAGCATGAGCGTCCTGTCAGTGCCGCGAAGCAATTAGCAGGCTGATCGGAACTCCCCCAGCAACTGCTCAGACTAGATTGTTAAGGACGGCAGGAGACTTAGCAACCTTCTGTCTGTCTCCCTTCTTGTCTTTATTTGGAGACTCTGGATATGCAGCCCATGAAACCTGCTGTTACTTTATGTAAGTGAAACCTCCACAAGTTAGGAGCTAGGAGGAAAACAAACAAACAGACAAACAAACCTGGATTCAGAAACCCGGATGGATGGATGGATGGATGTGGACTGAAGAAGTGGACTGAAATAGCCAATTGCAGACATTGCACCCACATCACAAGGCCTTTTACTTAAGAATCTATTTCATAATCAGCTTTAAGAAACACTATGCAAAGTTTCCTAGGGGAAAGTCATAAGGCTGTACATGGACATGTGATTTTTCTTTCACTGTGATAGACCCTAAGCAGCAGTCTACCAGGCAGGTGGCTCAAAGTGTGGCATTAAAAGTGCATCAGGTCTTGTCTGCAAGTCAGCAGCACCTTGGCTTCTGTGAGATGAGCTTGATCGGCCCCTTCTTAGCAACCTTGTGAGGAATGGGGTGCCCTGGTGCATATCCATCTGGTTCAGACCATCGCGAATGATGATGCAGTGATGTGCACAAGGTCTGCCTCTTGCATCAAGAGCAAGGATGCAGAGAACTTTTCTGCCCAAGGCACTGATTGTGTGCTTATTCCCTACCCCCGGTTATTGACAGGTTCTGAAGGCCAATCCAGTTTCATTCCAGTGTTTTAAGAGTACTTTATGGAAGGCGTTTTAGAATGGGAAAAAATGGAGTACTATTTATGAAAAGAAAAGAAAAGAAAAGAAAATGTATTGTCCTACTTATGCAATCGTAATGTTTCATTATAACCCAGCTGCCTCCTAGAAGTTACAAAGCAGGAAAGGGAAACCCCTTTGTCTAGACTTTGGATCTCTGTTCTATGATGAAAATGAAGGTAGTTTCAACAGATTGGCAGGTTTGTACACAAAAGCTCAGAAGAGATGCTGGCTCCAGATTTTGGAGGGCCCTTGGGCTAGATGCCCCAACCTGCCACCCTGGGCCTGATCTGTCTGTGGGCCTGTCTTTCCACCATCACTGTCACCAGCTGCTATTACTTCTCCTGCTCCTCCTCCTCTCTGCAGGACTACTGGTTCGTCTGGCAGGCAGAGGGCCAGTGAGCAAGTGCGCAGTGACATTTGCTGGTTCTCCACCTCTTCACTGTTGCGTAGGAGGCTAAAACCGCTTTTGCTCCCACTTGAAGGAAGAGAAGCCAAGTACCACACCAGCTTCTTTGGGAAGGGAATTCCACAGCCACGGATTTTAAAAAGCCCTCTCTCTGGTCCCCCACCCACTTTATCTCTGACAGTGAGGGAGCCCGTGGAAGGGCCACATGGAAGCACTAAATGCAGGGGCAGGTAGATTTGGTGGAGGATCTTCCTCAAGCCAACTTGGCCCCCAGTGCTTTAGGTCAGAGCAGTGTGCCACATACCGGCAAGAGGCCTGGCAGCCCTGTGATGCAATGACAGGCACATGGAGCTGAGTTTTGCATGGAGGGGGTTGCTTCCAGGGCATCTCATTTAGTACGAATTTGTTCACTTGTTCCAGAGCATGCAAGGTGTTGAAGGGGCCCCGTGCCTGTGGATTCTCGCAAAATCACGAGGCGTGCAGCACAGATGGCTGCGACCAAAGCACTGCTCCTTCACCCACAGAGCATCCAGCCACAGGGGCCCTGTGGGTCACTGGGGTCTGATGCTGAAGCAAGCAGCTCTCAAATGGATGACCCGCTCCACAGTCATCTGATGGGGAAACGTGAAAAGCAGCAAGCCACCAGATTCCTTGCTTGGCAGAAAAACGTGTGTGCCCAAGCAGAGATGACCTTCATCCATACCCAGATGAAAATGCTGAAAACAGCACCAAGAAACAGCACAGAAACTTCCAGCTGTTCTCATAGCCTGCGAACAGTGCCCTGGGGTGAGAAGTCTGTGAAATGGGGATGGATGGGAAATGCGCACTATAGACTCAGAAGGCCATAAAAAGAATTAAAGTTGAGAAAGAGGATGGCAGTCATCTTCTTCCTCAAAAAATGCCTTGTTTTGAGTTTTTCAGTCAGTTCTTGCTCTTGCCTACGGGAATTGCCTGTGGTGGCTTGAATGCTACCCAAAGAACAGAGGAAGGCGATGGTGGTGGTGCTCATGGCGGGAAATGGTGGAGTCAGATTGCAAGTATCTCACCCTCTCACTGCTGCACTATTCCTTCTGTCGTTCACCGGGGATTCCAGGAGGGTCAGCCATCAACTGCTTATTCCCCATGATGTTTATGTCTTTGCCAATGACATGCAGACCTGCCTGAAGGTGAAGGCCCATCACTCAGTGCTAAAACCCTTGGTATCTCCAGGTAGGCCTAGGAAGGCTTCCTACCTGAAGCCCCGGGGGGCTACAGCAGCTGGCCACTCTTGACCCTTCTAAGTTAGGTGGACCAGCAGCCTGGCTCCGTGTAAGGTGCCTTCCCATCTTTCCCAAAACCACAGTAGACATCAAGTTCAAGATGGCTTCAGCCATGACTTGAATTTCAAGACCAGCCCCATTCTAGCCTTTGGGCTTCCTTGTGTGCAGCAATGTGCGTAGGGGAAGGAAGTGGCGCCTAACGATCGATGAGCTCAATAGTTGTGCTTGAAGACATGGATTCTGCTGCAGGAATGGATGTTCAGTAAGACGGACAAAGAGTGTGGCGTGATCGGCTCATGAATTAAAAAACCCCTTTCTCTGTTCCTAGAGCAGGGCACATCCTTCAGACAGAGGACAAGATGAAATTTAGGGGGGCACATTCTAGTGGTGGGTGGGGCCAACGGCAAAGGAGGCAAGATCCAAATCCCACAATGAAAGCTAATTTTAGCTTAAAGTTTGTACTGCCTTGCTAAGCTAAAGGAGAGGCATTTCCACCTTTTAGAATAAGAGAAAGTGGTGCAAAAGCCAGGAAACCACCAAAGGACTGGGGACTGGGGAAAGTGGCCGGGGCCAAAGGAGAGCCATGGCCTGGGGGCCTGCACCCCCGTCCCGCAGCTAATGTTCCTAGAGTACTGTAGTACCTCGAGTAGTGCTTCGTTGTTGGTTTTACTCTGCATGTGCGCTCCGCATACTATTTGACCACAACTCTCCCTTGCATGGCTTGCCTTCACTTTTAGATGTGAAGGGGATACTTTCTGTATTGTCTCCAGATGCTGATGAAAGCGAGTCCCCCTCCCCTGCACTGCTAACCTTTGCCAAGCAGATGCACGTGAGGCATGGAGGCAACGTGAGACGACCGCAAATGGAAACGGCTTTCCCGGGCCTGAAAGAAATTTCAAGTTGCATTCACAGCGCAAGGAAGGGCGAAGGTTGGAAGCGGCTGAGGAGGCCAGAAAGGAGGATACAGCAATGGAAAAAATGTGGAGGGAGAAAGGCTGTAAGTTTGATGAGAAGAAATCCACAGTGGATACCTGCTGACTGAACTGACTTGCAGAGCCACCAGCCTCCTGCAGGAGACACCGTGGTTGCAGAGTCCACGGCTGTTCCCATAAAGCAACTCACACATGCTTTCCGAAACATCTTTTCCACTGTGCCACTTACCTCCCCCTGGACAGAGCTAATGCGGGGCACCGGCAACGTCCTTAGTTCTTCTGACAGACGTATTCAAGGAAGTGTCTGCTCTGACAGAAAGATCAGAATAAGGTGACCTGTGGAACTCCTTTCCCCCATGGATTGCATCACTATGTAGCAATTCAAAAAGCTATGGAAACTCCAAGTCAGTCAACAGGTGCAGCATTATGTGACCTGAACTTAAGGGCAATTTCTACCCTGCCGGTAACTGCAAGCACAGGGCAACCTAATCCCAACCGCTATGGAATATCAGGAGCGTATTGGTAATTACTGTGCTGGGCACCCTGCAACTGTGTTGCTGGCCCATCACACACCTGCAGAGATGGTACAAGCCATCGCCAGCATTGGTCATCATCAAGCACGGTGTTCCATTGGCTCCAGGGAGGTAAAGAGGCAATTATGCACTGCTGCCCAACTGTTCAAGTGAAAAGACAAAGTGGCGTTAGTGGATTCCTCCCCTGCCCCTTTAAAACATGCTGAATTTCAGTAACTGATATCCAGGGATGTCTATTCCACAGAATGGACATGCGATTGCAGTCAGAGTACCCCTCATAAATGGCTTGCTTTTCAAGCAAATGCAGTTCTCCATCCAGAAATTGGTCGTTCCGAGACTTACTGTTCCATTTTAGAAATGCAAATACTTCTTCATGAATATATTTAGGGAGGGATGTACTTACAGATTTTGAATACTTTATGAATGGAAATAAATTATAATGACCACAGGTTAGTTCTGGAAAAGATAGAAGGCAAGACAGAAGACATCAGAATGCAAAGGTTTACCAACAGTGTCATCCGGGTTCTTAAAAAAAATGTGGTAACAACAAACAGCAATTCTGGAGAAAAAGCTAATGTGAAGGAATGGTAGTTTCTGCTCACAGAGGCACAGTCCTCCCTCAAAAGAGGAGAACCTCTTTTTGGCTGACAATACTTCTGGGTTTAATAGGACATGAAGCTTCCACTTTCAGACATGCCTCTTTGAAAGGAGAAGATAACCCAGAAGTTTTGGGTTCCCTGTAACAGAGAAAAGAAAGAGTAAGGGTTTACAGGGTTCTCCAGAAGCTTGAGAATCACAAACAGGAGGGATAGGCATTAAACTGCAGTCCTTTCTTTTCAAAGAGGATTGAATAGAAGTGCCAGAAGAACAGTTTCAACTTCAGCCTCCCCCCCGATGTTGCTTGGAAGGCAGAACAAAAACGTTTGAGAGTGTCCCTTTCACTCCACAGAAGTAGCTGTGCCATGTCAAAACAAAACTTTCAGCTGTCGGAAATGCTTGGCAGTCACAAATATAAAAGAAACAATTGGAGAAGTGGGTCTCAAGCAGTGGCCCTCACCTTTTCTTCGTGGCCAGCTGCTCTCCACCCCGCTCCTTCCTGTGTTGCCTCCCCCTTTGTTGGGCAGCTGCCTGCAAGCACCGCGTGAAAAAGACCTAAGTGCCGAGTCGGCACGACAAGCCCTTTCTTTGGTTCACGGGCGGGTGGAAGAAGGCGACCAGGCCCGGCTGGGATCTGCTTCCCTCCCCATCGCTGCTGCTCATGTGCTGCCCCAAGTGATCCAGGTGGAGTGGCAAGGAATAAGCAGCTTGCAGCCGTGCTCCTCGGAGTCAGAGGCTGGAGGGGGGTTGGGAGGAAGGGGAAAGAAGACAGAATGGCCCCGTATGTGTGCCCTGTTAAGGCTGATACCCCCCATAGTGGTGGCGGTGGGGAGGTAAACATCAGTGGCTGTGAATATGCCCCACTTTCCCCCATGGAGCTTGCAGTGGAACTCTCCGACCTCATTCACACGATCATTGCAGGCCAGCAGGGCTTATGGAAAGCCGGTTTGAATATTCAGCTCCTGATTGGTGGGTTGCCATGGTTGCTAGTGCCATGTGATCTCAGGTAGCAGCGATCATTCGAAGGTAACCCTGTAACAACCCTACAACAGGCCTTGTGCTGTTTGGGGATTGCCTAACCTTTAAACAATTCCCGTTGCCCGTGACCAGACAACGCAACAAACCATGACAAACCCCAATCCTCATGCACACATATGCAGAGTGGCCAGCGGCATGTACCACAGGCTGCTGGGGCTCACTGAAGCCGCAGTGGGGTGCAGTGATCATACAAGCCAGCCTTCTGTTTGTGAGCAGCAGCTGTTTGTTGTCCTCCATGCATCTGAGCTGTGACCCTGCGGGGTGAAAATGCGTGTGAGTGTTGGAGGGCTGGAGCAGAGTGCTGGGCCTCGTAGATGGAGCGCGTGGCTACCCAGGGGGCACAGCGCTTCCCCTGTGTGGGGGCCACATGCTGTGCTGCTGGGAAGCAACAGAATCAGTACTGTGTAATAGAGGCCAAACCTGCAGATATATTCCCCTGTGGCAAAAAGAGGCAACGGTGAGGAGGGAAATGCATGAGTCCGTCACTGCAGCCGTGCTTTGCAGCAAGTCTCTTCTCTCCATTCTTGCATCACCGTGTGCAGCACTCTGCTGTCTGGTCCCCCGTTTCACACTGTAGAAGTAGATGGGAGTGGGGTGGGGTGTTTGTGTCATTACAAGGTCCGGAGGCAAGGTACCTGCTAGGTGGTGACATTGCAGCAATGTGCTTGAGTTCCTAACAGTTGGGAAATGGTCGCTCGTGACAGAGAAGAGAAGAGAAATAGAATTGGAAGGGGCCTATAAGGCTATTGAGTCCAACCCCCTGTTCTGCTTCTCCAGGTGGTCACCCATCCAGCTGCAGGCCCGTGCATTTTCAGCTTAGCAAAAGTGGCTCATCCTGCACGCACAATGGATAACTATGTAGACAGGCATGAAGTTGTGCTGCCAAGGACACACTCCTCTTCTGTGTCCTACCCACAGCTCGGCCCCATTTAGTTTATCGGTTTAAACTTTTCATCTAGTATCCCTTGTTATTAACTTAACAGCTGGTGTATCAAATCTATCAAAATCACAAGTACAGCAAAATACAACAATAAAAATAAATTTGAAAACCTCAAAATATCTATTGAGTTAGGTATGAAAATCCGCAAATGCTGGGTGAAGAGATGCGTTTTTGACCAGCATGGGAATACCATGCTGGCAAGGAGGGCAATTGTTGCGT